GTTACAAAGATATAACAATTTTAATAACATTAGAACCCCGACGCAAATATGCGACCGCTGACCGCAGTCCATTTTTAATGTGACTAGCTATCGCATATATGCGATGACAGTCTATAGGTGGAAACCGGCCGTCGCATATGTGCGTCGCTGGTCCATGTGAATGAAAAGTTGCGTACTATTGCAGTAGCGAACGTGTAAGGATTATGTTATTTTAACTACACTTGTCTCAAAATTTTCTTGAAAATTGTCTAACCTGCGCTATGGAAACAGAGACCGTTGTCTAGCAATTTTCATTTCCATTTGAACACTTTACTATGGTTTTAGTTTAACGAGTTGAAAGAGATTTTACCAAAAATAATGATGTTTGTGTTTCCATTTTGTCTGAATTAAAAATCATCAAACCTAATCCACAAAGGGAATTAGAATGGAGAGAATAACTGAAATTCATCATCTGCTTAGGATTCGGATGGCGTTTGAGGCCATCTTCCACAAGTCAGCCACACTACAAGACGTAGAACCTGATCCTGAAGCAGGGGTGGAGATTGGGCGAGGAGAACAAAGCTATAGTCATCAGAACACTATAGCCACTCCAGCCAGTCCTGGCCCGTACAAGAAGGTTCAGCTGGTGAGTTGACTGCAAACTAACTAGTCCACTATTATACATATATATTTAAGGATGCAACATAGCACAAGGCCTAGATGTTTAGGATGTTTTTGTGAGGATAGCAGTCTAAGGACCAGGGGAAACGTTCAATGGTACACTTGAGCCATGTCTAGTTCAAAGCCAACATTGCCAGGATGTACTACAACACTCACAGTGCAGGAAGACTCTGTGCCCTGTGTGATATGAATTTCCACACAGTGCTTGCCGCTATGGCTTTTCTTTGCTCGTCACACTTGTATTTCTGGCACAACTTACTAGAGCTGAAAGCGCATGGTCGGCCCATAAGCTATTTGTCTTTGCAACTTATGTCCTGTGTTTCTATTGTCACTATGTGTCCAGCAAAACTAAGTTTTTCATGTTGTTTTTGTAAAAATATAAGCAGATAACTAATTTTTAAATTTTAATTTAAAATGCATGGTATTAAATATGGGGTGTTAAGTAGAAGAGCTTACATAGTAACAGAAATAAATTTTATTAGTTTAATTGTATCTTCTTCCAACAAATATGGTTTAAAATAAAATTAAACACTTCTTTCAATTAAAACTGTTTCCCGAGTTGAACACACTACCAATCAAACGTGTGACAACTTATTTGTTTATGAATAGTGAAAAATGTATTTACTGTTACAGCCGAAGGAGCGAGTGATTGACATGTCGCCGGAGGACCAGAAACATTGGGAAGAAGAGGAGATGAAGGAAAGAGTGAGCTTTGACCAATGTCATATTGACCCTGCTCCGTTCCAGCTGGTGGAGAAGACAAGTTTACTCAAAGTTCACTCAATATTCTCCCTGGTGGGGGTAAACCATGCGTACGTCACAACAATCGGCCGCCTCATCGGCGTTGTGGCTCTCAAAGAGGTAAATAGTTAACAGTCTAAGTTCAACCAATTTCGATTGATTTAAATTTTTAAATAATTAGGGTAAGATATTTTAGAGATCCTCTGACGAAATAGTCTGACTTTCTTGAGACAATTACAATTGAGCAAATTAATGAATTATGGCTTTATTCCATCAATGTAAATGACAAATTAGAACAGTTATTCAATAAAAAATACATAATCTTAAATGAATAGCAAAGTAAATAAAGTTAATATAAATAAAGCATATAAATGTTTAGAAAATTTTGTAAAAAAGCTAATTATAGAATAAGCCTGACATGTGCAATGAGCCTGTGTGTCTATTGAGGGTATAAAAGGTCCAAAAATTATTATTTGATAAATTGAATAGAAGATAAGGTTATGATGAAATCATGAAATGTGATAGAAATTAATCAGCAAGAATAGTTCAAACAAAATCTTATATAGGCCTACTAAAAAAACCTTTAGCAAAACTTACGAGAGCAAGCCTGGCCATACTACTTGACCGAATTACGCGTGGTTGGTACCAAATGAAAGATATTTTCCTGTAGATGTGCATTTCCCTTTATAAATTAAAATAGGCTCAAAAATAAGCATGGGAAATGAATTTGAAATATTTTAAAAATTACCATGGGCCTTATGGGTTGCTATGCTGTTGACAAAATAACAACAAAATATAAACAGAAAATCCAAACAAATTCCAATCACATGTTTTATAATAGTGTGGGGTGAAAATAGAGAAGTTTGCACAATACCCTTACAATACTTACTTTTGGTTGAGTTTTCGACCACAGGGCGAGCTCTCGTTATCAAATGAAAAATACTTATGTTGGGAACAAATAAGTCAACAGAGAAAATTATTGTACTAAAGGATTACTGAACGGTAAACAGCTATTTTTTTTACAGTTTAATTACAAAAACCATTCATGTTTCAGCTGAGGAAAGCAATTGAAGATTCAAACTGTGGTAATTTACCAGCGTCACAACAGGTCCAAGGCCAGCCACAACTGCAGCCTGCGGCCGAACATTTACTGAGCAACGAGAACAACATGTCCGTCAACAGCACTGTGTCGGCCGACAGTAGTTGAGGATTGCCGACATTAGATATGTTACATATCGGGCGCGGTCAAACCGCCGTTGTGATCAATACCGTTACTTAGGTTATATTTACCCGTTCGAAAAACTATTGAGGATATTATTTTGAACAAATCTAAGATAGGTTTGTAACCTAGGGTTACTAGCTTCCGGTGCTGACGATTTAGTTGATATTGTAGAATAAGGATTCGGATCTGTCCGCGACTCGTGATTTTGCAATTGGAAGTGTGTCAATGTTTCAATGCTATGTATTAGTATGAATCTAGTCTATAGTAGTATTATCAAGCTGTTAAAGTTAACGGTTGGTTGTTTGAGAGAAATTCTACTTTCATTCACATAGGCTGTCAGAAACTATTTGTAACGTTTAGTTGTTAACTGACACATATTTTTTATAATAGCCATGGACATATTTTTTATAATTTATTTTCATATGATAAGTGAAAATGTAATTAGTCAGATGTAATCTTTGTTGTAATTGGTCAGATATAAATTTCTGTTAGTAATTGAATAATCTTCCAAGTTCATTATTAGTTTACAAAACTAATAAAATTCATCCAGTGATATCATTGAATGGTAACATTTTAACAGCATCTGTCTAGTTTTAACGTTTCTAGTGAATCTGAAATATACAATATATATTTCTTACTTCGATTACAATTTAGTATGGATCTTTAGTAGTAGGCCTACTATTTTATGTGATAATTTACAGTTAAACATTATTGAAACCTCACCACTGCTTTGTAAACTCAATATTTATGTTTCTTAAATATCATCTTTTTTGGGCACTCTTTCTACAACTTTTGTTCAAACCATAAGTTTCTCGCGTCTTTTTGTTAAAATCCGAAATATCCTGTTTTAAACATGTATGTTTAGATATAGGAATATATGAAATGACACAGATAATAGAGATTTATGTTTATACAAAAAGTTATTGTCAAACTTAGAATAGGCTAGATCCAAATTGTTATATTTTTCTAGATCCCCTTGATAACTAAAATAATTTGTGAAAATATTTGTTAAGGATAGTTTTTTAACAGTTCCTGGTATGGATTGCCTTGATATAGAGATTGTGGTGCTAATTGCAAATAGAAAGTAGAAAAAAACATTAAAGATTGACAAGTAAATCTTATTTATTTATCAAATAGCAAGTCCGAAGGCCTTTATTATGTTATTACGTCAACTAGAATACTCAGAGGTAATCGATTACCTACATTCAATGTTTACCTGGTAGTATTTTATAAGGGAGAAGACATTATTTTAAAAGCATAATTAAACTCATCGTTTGAAAATTTTGTGTGGTTTTCATTATCAGCTGCCACAGTAAATTAAAAGCTCAATTGTAATAGGACAGAGCTCCCAGAATAAACTGAAAAAATACCACTAAAGTAGTGATTATTTCTTATAAGATCTAACATACCATGGATGGTTCTAAAATGATTGTTTGTGATGGATTCTAGTATCAATAACCAAAGAAAGTCTTTATATGTTTAGATTTTAATAATGGACTTTACAAAATAAAGTACAAACACTTAGTTGAAAAGATTATAGGAACGGAATATTTAAATGAGCCTGTCCTTTGAGGTTTATGTGAATAACGTGATGGTATGTGGACTATGGGAACCAACCTAGCTTATTTCACTTGGCATATTTTTAAGTGATCTTGAATGTGATATGTATTAGTACAGAAACTTTATCATGTTACTAGTTTTGTTTATAGAAATTCTTATGTAAATAAATTATGTACATAATGTTTTATGCGTACTACTTAATATCCTGGTGGATCATTACAGCACATATCTGTAAGAAGAGGGCCAGAAATAAATGACGAATCATAAAATGTCAAACCCAAGCGTAATGCAATATGCAAAACAAGCACTTGCTCAAGGCAAATCAAGGCTTCGGATCCTTCAAAAGGAACTGAATTGCACTCATATAATATCGGCATGAGCAAGAAATTAGTTATTTAGTACCAGATTATTTAACGTAGATAACATATGCTTTTCACAGACTAAATTAGAGCAGCTTTTACTCATTCAAAATTTTGAGGGTTTAAAAATATTTGACTCTAATGTAGCTACTTAGTACTTAACTTATTGAATCTAGGCAATTTTTATCTGCGATCCAAAAAAATTTTCACAAGTGGAAACACAAATTACAAGTGTAAAACAAGCAGAAATGATCCAGGAAAGAAACTGAAAATTCGCCTTTGTGTTTGAACCAGACTAAAATTATTCAAAAAATATTCTCAATATCCTACAAATATTTTTTTACAAAAGTAAAAACCAAATGAATTCTAGAAAACATTTTACCGTGCAACTATTCATGAACACCAAAAAGAACTAAATCATAAGAAATCACACTAAAGGGGTAGTTAAACTTAGTAAATAAAAAACATACAAACTTTTATTTTTACATATATATATACAAGAAACTCAAAATGTTCAGCATTCTATGTCCTCTCCATACAAGGCTACATCGATTGCATTTAACATAGCATTTCTAAACTTGTCTTTCTGTTTGGGAGTCATCTTGCGAACATCGGGCAACAAACTAGATAAGAAGTCCCAATCTGGATTGCTGCCCGGCTCAGGGACCGTAACCCCATTGGGAGTGTTAGAGGTGGATATTACATACTTTTCTTCTTCCCCGTCAGAATCAACAAGACTAACCTCGATCTCTTCTTTAACCTCAGTCTCTTCCTTGATATCGCTTAAGCTTGTGTTATCACTCAAGGGATCATTTTCATGAAAGTAGTTGCTGAGCTTTTGAGATTGCCTGGAAATAAATTTAAAGTAATAAACTACAGCTGGAGCTCAAATGTTTGATTTACAATGAGCTGAATTTAAAGTTAGCACATTTTTTTAGTTGCCTTGAAATGATTAGTTTGTAAAATGCTCAAGGATGGTTTAGACCTACAAGCTACGCTTTATTTAAGACATTTTTGGTAAAGTTGTAATCATAATCAAAATATCTCAACATGAATGGGTTAAACCGGCCCTGCATATATCAGTCAGTTTGTTTAAATGTTAGTGGTGAATCCTTCAACGAGGCGATTAGAAGAATGCTATGGTTTGATCATAACTTCTCTTCTTCGTCATGACCCAACCTGGTAGGTGGTGACATCTGACAAAGAATCAGTAAACTTACGAACTAGGCATGTATACAGCACAATGACCATCAGTTTTAGCATTGTTGACGTGTCACGATTGAAGTGTCTGGGACAGAGACAGTGTATTGTTTGCAAACAAGAAATTCATGAAAGGTAGGCCTGGGTACTACAGAAGATTAAAACAATGCTTACCTCTCCAAATTAATTTTGGTGAAAGGGATAATAAATTCTAAATAGTCAGCAAGATAATAATCCTTTGTATTTTTTCCCATTGCTTTATTTTTCAAGTACCGTTTGAAACATCCTCGAATATTTGTCCACCTCTGCCTTACACTGCCCTCTGAAATGAAGTTTCCAAACATCATGAGTGAACCTTTGCATACTTAACATATCAGGAAAGTTTTTACTAAAAAAAATTGACTAAATACAGAACATTTGCATTATATGTCACATGTGGTATTTTCTTACTTTTGGAACCTAAGGGTTAATATAGGCCGAGACAAAAATATTCAAACTAGCCTATCTAACTAGGCCTAACCCAATTGGGAATATGAATGAGAAAACATTAACATGCCTAGGACGAATTAACGTAAACAAATTTTCAAAAATATATTCTCACATTCACTCAACTCACACATTTACACACGTTTAACCTTTCGTCTGTGACACCACGGAGTTTTCCTCCAGGCGCATTTGTTTTTATAGAGAAATAGGTATGTGTTATCCCAGCCGGTAACTTTAAGAGTAACAGTACCTTGCGTGCATCTTACTATGAACCGATTGAACATTATTTAGATCTCACACCACCCCCACAAAACAGGACTGTGGACAGTCACCCCCTCTAGGTTTAGCTTAAGATTAGCTGATTTTACTAACAAATTTGAAATAAAAATTATAAAACCCAATTGCTGTTGGCTATCTAGACATTGAATATTAATAATTTTTTGTTCATTTTACTTTTTCCATTCTAAGGTAAAAAAAACACAGAGGATACGCGTCCGGTAACCAGACGTGGATTAGGCGTCCGGTAACCAGACGTGGATTAGGCGTCCGGTAGGGGGTCCCGGAACGCCATTACCACAATGATACGATGTTCAGCCATCAGTGTTCGTGGTGTAGTGGGTAGAGTGCTCGACTGATGTGCGAGAAGTCCCCGGTTCGAAACCCATCGGTAACTTTAACTTTTTGTCACAGATTTTGCTTTGAATGTAATTTCTTCTTAACTGTACATCTTTTGTTAGAATTTTTGGCATTTATAATTTTATGTTATTAAGAGAATTGAACCTTCATTTGATTTTTTTCACTATCAGCAAGTTTGGTTGGTTAGGTTAGGTTATGACAGTAACTGCCGGACGCCTAATCCACGTCCGGTTACCGGACGTGTATCCTCTGCGTAAAAAAAAACAAAGAAACTCAGTCACCAAAGCCTGCATCACATCTGTGGACAGGCATAAATAGTTCCAAAAAATCCACCAGGCAGCACTGGCCAACTTTCACCACTATTTTTTTACAGAGAAGAAGAAACCATCTTGAACATAGAATCAGTTTGGTTTTTTTTCTGTTCAGTTATTAGTTGTTTATATCATGTGTTTATATCTATGTTTGTTTTTTAACTTTATTAGTAAAATTTGCAGTTGTGATAGTCACTTCCGTGGACATGCTAGTTTTTAAATACTAAAAATCTGGGAAAGTCATTTTTATTCAGTGTGACCATTGCAATGGGTAAATATTAAAAAGGGTCATAATTAAAATATCTAAAAAAATTAAAATAGAAAATTTAAATATGTCCTTTTCTGAAGAATGGCCCATATGTACCTATACAAATGTTGTTTGTCAATGTTTCAACACACGGAAAAAACTCCATGTCTCATTGATCATGTTTCAAAATCAAAGACACTGACAAAGGGTTAAGACTCATTAGGGATTAGCCTATTATTTTTTTTACACAAATGTTTATAGGCCTAATCTTAACAGGATGTATTTATAAAGTGGTTTAGAAGTGATTAACATAACCTACTTGAATTCAGATTAAAATTTGGTACTTGGCTGGATTGCCAAGGTCAAAAACGTTTGGTGCAAGAAAAAACTCAATACCTTGCTTTTAGTAGGCCTATCCCAGGATATTAAAAACTAACTTATTTCATACAGTAAGGAGCCAAAGGATGTAGGCTACAGTAGAGGTGTATGTTGGTAAGATTGTTTATCTTCTATAGGTAGGTAGACCTAAGTTATTCAACAATTTTTTGCTACAAACTTATCTCGTGTTTTAATTCCCTGTGGGTAAATTTTCAAAAGGTATTCTTTTTAGTTAGCCTACAGATATTTTGATGGATCAACACCCGGGCTTAATTCACAAAGTGGCTGCTTCCACAGTGTACTTTGCTATGGAATTGCATTCTGGGGAATCTGTAGTGAGGCAAATAGAATCTTCCTACTACAAAAATGTGTTTTAATAATTATCTGTAAAACCCACTTCATTGAGCACTGCGAACCTTTATTCAAGGAACTTCAGATAAAGTATTTCAGACCCTGCCATCAGCATATATATTGGAATCAGCCTTAACGTTCTTAAATTTCCCGATTTCTTCACAAGAAATAATGAATTAGGCCTACAATAGGTGTAGGCTACAGCACAAGACAAAAAAATAGTATCCATATCAACCACCACAGAACTACACTAGCACAGACTAGTCCTCAATATTCAGGAAGCAAAATTTTTAATAAATTACCACAAGAAATCAGAAGTTGTGAAGATCAAGCTAAAATCAAGAAAATGCTGAAGATGTTCCTATTAAATAAAGCCTATTATTCAGTAGAAGAATTCCTTGAAGAGTGAAGGCTAACAACTACCATGACGACCATGGCTGAAAAAGCTTCCAGTGGGATTTATACAAGTAAGTAAACAAATAGATAGGCCTACAACTAACTCGCACTTCAGTAACCGAGGGAAAGATGTTTTGATATTGGATTCAGAGAAGTGGTAAAATATAACAGATTCTATTTTACACCTGTCAGTAATGTCATTGGCACACTAGCCCTAAAGCAAGGGACGCTGCTTAATGGATGTTTGCTTAAGCATAGGCCAATAAGTGTGACAACCAGACAAGCGATCAAAGAGAAAATTTGATACAGGCCCTCCTTTAAAAAGCACTTGCGTTGAGTTGATACACCAATTTCTCAATTTTCAATCCCAAAACCTTCCCTTGTCTAATTTCCAAAGTAGGCCTACTTAAATTATTAATTTATAAGTCAGGCCTAAGTTTAGTGAATGCTTGAACCATTTAAAATCAAATAATTTATTATCATGGACATTTACATGAATTAATATTGTTAGTGGAGCAGAACATAAAATTTCAATGTTCATTGTCTAAATAATCAGAGGTAACTTGTGTACTAATCCCTTGTATTGTTGTTGTTGCTAGTAGAGCAATTAGAATATCAATCAGTAGCCAAATGAGAAGGCCAAAGTAAAACTAGGCAATCATAATTAGGCCTAACTAAAAAAACCAACCTGATATGCGCAATTCTTGAGCCACAAGTGTCCACGCTGCATCAGATGCTCTTTTAAATTCAATTGGAGGATATTGTTTTAGATCATAAATGACAGGATAGTTTTTTATGGCTTGAACAATTTTTATGTTTTCTTCTGGGTCATATGCTACTTCAAAGCCCATACTCTCAGAGCTTTCAGAATCAGAAATGCCTGGACTGCAAGAAAAAACAGAATAACTAACTACTATTATGGTTTCAGTATTTTACCTGTTAATTCAAATAAATACACACTTCACAAAATCGTTTTAAGTCTGAAAGTGAAGTCGCATGCATAACCTATTTGACTTGACTTGACACACTAAAAACAAACACAACACAAGATAAGAAGAAGAATATGCAAACAGATAGAAAAGAACCGACGCAGACGGACGGACAACAGACGGGGACGACTGCGGAGCGGACTGAGTGACGAGACATACGACAGACGGGCCATAAACATGAATCATGGATTATAATCATAGCCTCCTGAGGCTATGATTCTTCTTCTCATTATCCATTCATCTCTATGCAGGCGACAGGTAAGGTAACGGCATGGAACGGATGTTTTATTTTACTAGCTGCGTGTAAAAAAGCCGGCGTGTAGCTTGTAAACTCGCCCCGTGTGAACGGGGCCTTACAACAGAAACGGTAGGCGTGATAAATACACAAACAGAATAACGTCACTGGCCCGAATGTCTAGATACTACAGGCATTGATTATAAATCTCCTATTGCACAGATGCTATGCTAAAGGAGATCGCAATTACGACGATATTCCTTATCGATATTATTTTCGTTTAATATTTTTAACAGTATCTAATTTTTTTTAGGGAGAGGAGGTAAAATGCTTTTACGCACACAGGTAGCCAGCCTGTAGTGTGAGACTCCTGAGCTTGTCAGACTACTCACTAAAAAAACCCCTCTCCTCTGTTAGTTGGACACAGACGGATTGTTTGTCACATTACTTCAGGTCAGGTCAACGTGTGACCTAAGCCCTCAGGGCTCGCGCCGTTTCTGGCATTCAACTTCTTTATGACCTAGACTATGCAATATTGGAATCCTGTAATGTTGTACTATTAAAAATCTTATAATATCGGCTTTCGATATCGTATTTTTATCAGTTAAATGTTTTTAAAAAAATCATGATATAACCATAGATAAAACGGAACTATATTTTATCTATGATATAACTCATTAAATTCTCTATTTTTCTTAAATTTCAACTCTCATTCACTCCTGTCATTCCTTGTCACGCTCCTTCCTCTATTTTTAATTCCATTCCTAAATCCTAATTCTTTTCCTCATTCGTTCTTTATTTTATTTTATTTATTTCCCAACGGCATAGCCACTTAAATATTAAGTACCTGGGGGCCGAGCTTTGCTCGGGGAAAATCGTTAGTTTACTCTGAAAGCAGTCTTAGTATTGCAGATACATTAATCCATTCCCAAACTCCACAATGCTCGCCTTTACTACTTTCTTCACCACTCCCTACGCCTTTGACCTGTTTCCCGCCCTTTCCATAGCAATTTAGGATTGCAGATACATTAATCTAATTGCCACAGACAGTTCCCAAACTCTGCACTGCTAGACTTATAACTTCCTCCACCATTTCCTACGTCATGGACCTGTTTCCTTCACTTCTCATAGCATTTAAGTATTACAGATACATTAATCTAACTGCCACAAACGGCCCCCCCACTCTGTGATGCCAGCCTTCCTTCACCACTTTCTACGTCGTGGGCCTGTTTCCTTCCCTTCCCATAGCATTTTAGGATTGCAGATACCATAATCTAATCGTCATAAACAGTTCCGCACTCCGGACTGCTTGCCTTTACTACTTTTTCCCCCACTTCCTACGTCGTGGACCTGTTTCCCTCCCTTTCCATTGCATTTTAAGATTGCAGATACTTTAATCTAATCGTCATAAACAGTTCCCACACTCCGGATAGCTCGCCTTGACTGCTTCCTTCAAACTTCCTACGACACGGACCCGATTCCCTCCCTTCCCATAGCATTTTAGGATTGCAGATAGTCTTTCCTTAATCTAATCGTCATAAACAGTTCCCACACTCCAGACAGCTAGTCTTGACTACTTCCTTTGCCACTTTCTACGTCGCAGACCTGTTTTCCTTCCTTCCCATAGAATTTTAGGTCTTTAGGATTGCAGGTACTTTAATCTAATCGTAATAAACAGTTCCCACGCACCTGACTGCTTGCCTTTACTACTTCCTTCACCACTTCCTACGTTGTGGGCCTGTTTCATTCTCTTCCCATAGCATTTTAGGATTGCAGATACCTGAGATACCTTAATCCAATCGTGATAAACAGTTCCCACACTCCGGACTACTAGCCTTTACTACTTCCTTCACCACTTTCTACATCGTGGGCCTGTTTCCCTCCATCCCCATTGCATTTTAAGATTGCAGATACCTTAATCTTATCACCATAAACAGTTCCCACACTCTGGACTACTCGCCTTTTTCACTTCTTTCACTACTTCCTACGTCGTGGACCTGCTTTCTTCCCCTTTTCCATTGCACTTTAATATAGCAGACAACTTAATATTATCGTCATAATCATTTCCTGCAATCCGGACTGCTCGCCTTACTACTTCCTTTACCACTTCCTATGTCGCGGACCTGTTTCCCTCCCTTCCCATATAGCATTTTAGGATTGCAGATACCTTAATCTAATCGTCATAAACAGTTCCCACACTCCGGACTACTCGCCTTGACTACTTCTTTCCCCACTTTCTACGTCACGGACCTGTTTTCCTCCCTTCCCATAGCATTTTAGGATTGCAGATATCTTAATCTAATCGTCAAAAACAGTTCCCACACTCCGGACTACTCGCCTTGACTACTTCCTTCACCACTTTCTACGTCGTGGACCTGTTTCCCTCCCTACCCATAGCATTTTAGGATTACAGATATCTTAATCTAATCGTAATAAACAGTTCCCTCACTCTGGACAGCTCGCCGTGACTACTTCCTCTACCACTTCCTAGGGCGCGGACCTGTTTCCTTCCCTACCCATAGCATTTTAGGATTGCAGATACCTTAATCTAATCGTCATACAGTTCCCACACTCCGGACTGTTCTTCTTTACTACTTCTTTCCCCACTTTCTACGTCACGGACCTGTTTTCCTCCCTTCCCATAGCATTTTAGGATTGCAGATATCTTAATTTAATCGTCACAAACAGTTCCCACGCTCCCGACTGCTTGCCTTTACTACTTCCTTCACCGCTTCCTACGTCGTGGACCTGTTTCCTTCCCTCCCCATATTACTTTAGGATTGCAGATACCTTAATGTAATCGTCATTAACAGATCCACACTCCACACTGCTAGCCTTTACTACAATGTAACGAGTAATCTTCAGTATAATCTTTGCTCAATAGTAACCAGTGATGTTTTTCCTTTTGTAATGTATTTTGTGATTTGCTAGTATACTGTGGTTAGATGGCTTATTATGAACACATGTTACAACTTACAAGTCTTTTGTTTCATTTTTCCTTGTTATTTAATTCATCCAACAAGGTTACTTAGCAACCCATAATACTAATGTTAAAAAAATGTGACTTATAATTTCATTTTTCTACGAAATTAGATTTTTGTTGGCAGTTCCAACTGCAGTTAACTTGTTTTTAGGCCAGAAATAAAATATTTACAACATTTGAAGAAAATCGTCAAAACCGTTTTCGAGATCTTTGTGCAAGCAAGCAATCATACATAAAATCAAACATTGCTTATATTAGAGTATAGGATATACTTTTAGAACTAGAAATAAACATAAATAAATAGTAAATAAACGAGTCTTCCGATTCATTCCTCTCCTCTTAGCTCCTGTACTCTATCAGCAGTTGTTGATAATTCCTAATGCTTCATTATACCAAGTATAAAACTTTGATAATTCCTAACCTAACCTAACTTGTCCTAGCCTTATACTATAATGTACAATATTCTCATATCCGTTTTGAACCGGTATTAATAATGCCGGGAGAGAGGGAGTGCTGAGCACTGCAATCACTGGTGATGGTCGGTTAAGGACTATTGGGCCTTCCCTCTCTCCATTTTCTTGCTTGCTGTTCAGTGTTCATTCAGAAGAATTTTAATCTCTTTTTTGGACAGCAGCATTTAGAGACAAGGGACAAAGAAAATTGTCAATACCTAATTAATACATAACTTAACAATTTAAGAAAAAGGTGCCAGCTGAAGTTTTTTAATAATCTACCTGCAAACATAAGCCAAATCCTGAATACGTACTCTAAAAATTATTTTTTTTAGTAGTTTTAAATTGAACAAACATTTTCTGTAATTGCATTTTTAGGTTAAGATAACTCAATAACTCATTTATTTAGCTAGATCAACAATGTAGGCCTACATGCATTAGCCAAGTCAAATTTACTTTAACTAACTATTAACTAACTTGTAATATACATTAAAATTCATGACGGACACTGAGGATTTCAGCCTTTACCCGTGAGAAATGACTTCAAGTGCCTTATGAAGCATCCCTGATCTGATGTGGATCTGATTTGAAGAGGGAGAGCATTAAACAGTTTGATGGCATTGTAAGTTAGAAGTCTTTCAAAGAAAGTGGTTGAATGGGCTGGAATTCTCAGATTGAAGTTATTGCGAAGCAGATACGAGAGGGTGGTTGCAGAGTGAAAATAATTTGACTTTAGAAAAGTGAGGACTTCTAGAATGTTTAAATACAAGTAAAAGTTAGAATCGCAGATGATTTGAAGATGGAATTGACAGTGTCATCAGTTTAATAGCTTTGCTATGTACAAATGTTTTATGTGACAAGTTAATCTGAATTTGGTCATATTGGGGTATTAAGTCTTGATCGGGTTGTCAAGTCCAGTGTTTGGAGTGGGGTTACGTTGACTCCTCTTCCTACTGACCCTTATCATGGATTGTCCCCTAAACTATACCTAAGGTTTCCCAGGTGGTCAGTGGTCGGATGTTCTAAACAACTGTCCAGGGTGATTGGTTGTGTGATGCCGTACAGTGCCTCATACAGATTCCTTTTTTCTTCTTCCCATTCCGGGGGACATCTAATGCCTGCGTGCTCAAGTGTGTCCAACTCTCTGCACTTGCTGCATAACAGGCTACCCTTGATACCCACAAAATTTCCTCTAGAATGCAGAAATTCTCTGAAGGGTCCATGCCCTGTCAGGAGGTAGCCGGCGTTAAAATCTTCCTCTTCCGTCTTTTAAGTTTCTTAAGTTTCTTTCTTAAGTTTCTTTTAAGTTTAGAAGTAAGCGATAGATGTGTCTTCCCTTCTCACTTTTGCCCCACACTATGTGTATATTTACATGCATCTGTCCTGTTAGAGGATGTAAGATATTTATAATTAAACCTAAAGGGTTAAAACTAAATCAAAATAATTTGAGTTGATAAAAAACTGGGAGCGTCCTTTGAATTGTTACAATTCTAAGTCAATTAACTCACATGACTCTCATAATTTCTCATTAATTCTCAACAAATTAATCCTACTAATATTATAAGTGAGAAGGTTTGGATGTATGGATGGATAGATGGATGGATGTATGGATGGATGAATGAATGGATGGATGGATGCATGGATGGATGGATGTTTGTGACAAGTAAACGCGAAAAATACTGGTCGGATTGGGCTGAAATTTGGTGAGATGATAGCTCACATTCCCAAATAACTTATATAGACACATTCTTATCTCAAAAATCCTTTACGGCTCGGCCCCAGTGGCTCTATGGTTTCCCAAATTAACCTTATTAGTATTCATATTTAAAAGGAATAAAAGAATTTTCTCAGTTGTTTTAACTACACAAGTTTGTTCTATGATACTAAAGAGCATTAAAAAGTTATATGAATTAAAAATAAGCATTATAAGCATTAAAAAGTCATAAGGTTTACCAACAGGGTGAATAAACAAAAAGGGTGAAGTAATATGATAATTATCCTTTCATCAATGTAATTATTATATCAACTGATATTACTTAAGTAATCGAAAATTTACTTACTCTGACTCTGATACGCTGGTCTCCTTTATACTTTTATTATTGAAATTTTCACGTAGTTCACTTATTAGGCTTTCTAGAATTTGTTTCCCACGTTCTAATCTTCTCTTCCTACGTTTTATGGCGACGAGCACGTCTTTGGATTGCCTTTTAAGTTTAGGCATCTTTCACCAGTCTGAGGAATCAGGATAATTGGTTTATGGCAAAGAAACCTTAGTCAAAGAGCATTTGAGGCAAGTTGAAGGCAATAAATCAGGTAAACCTTGGACTTTAATAATACAATTATACTTTTTTTTGCCAAGCTCTAACCCACAATTTTTTTCCAGAGTTTACCACTTAGCTCAAATTCATGGATGGACAGGATTTGAACCCAGGGCCTCAGAGACTGTTTAAAGTCCTCTGTTTTATTTACCACTAGACCAGCTTGTTTCTCAATACAAATTATATTAATAGTTTGTGTACTGACATGGTTGGGGCAAAAGGACACAAGATTGTCTAAAATTTTGGTTAGTTTAGAGAAAAATAGTATTTTATTTTAAGTATATTTTTCATTTATTTTTACGAAGGCTGGGGAGTAGGTGTTTACAGTAAAAGTAACTTTTTAGAGATTTAATACGAGTTCTGTTAACACCTTCTTGGGTGAGTCAAGTACATCAAAATGTACATACATTAATATACTGTTTAACAAACACAATTTTTGAACATTTATTGTGAGAACGCAATGTGTCTGTCCAAACCTGTCTAACACCTATATATATTATAATTTCTAAAGTACTTTCTTGTCGGTAGACCATAACTTTCTCATTTCTTCACTAATTTTTTTTAATGAGTCATCTAGTCTGGTTGAACCGATGTGCTGATAAAAATTGTCCGGTTAAAGAGATGTTATTTCTGCCGAGAGTAGTCCGGTTAAAAGGTGTCCGGTAAGAGGGAGTCTACTGTAAATTATTACTGATATTTCATCTTGCACATGTGAAAGAGAAACTGCCAATCCAGAACGTCTAGCTAGCAGCATAGACTAACCAATGCAAGGGAGTGTATTTAATCAATGCTAGTAGAGTATACTAAAAGATTAATTAGCTAAGGCAGTACAGAGAGCAGACAAAAAACATCTGTGACAATGTTATCTGTATTGACCTATCGATGCTCATTCCTAGACCCGACTTGTATGTATCACAAATAAATCTAAGGTTAAAAGTTAGATATAATATGAAAAAAAAAACAGGTAATTATCAGAACACATATTAAAAAATAATAAACAAAGAGGGTGACGTAATATGAATTTTGATCCTTTCATTAACGGAGTTATTATTACTTTAACTGATGACTTATTACTTATGTAATTGAAAATTGACTTACTCAGATAGGATGGTCTCCTTTGTACTTTTATTGTTGAACGTTTCACGTAGTTCATTTATTAGGCTTTCTAGCCTTTTTTTCCCACGTTCTAATCTTCGTTTCTTACGTAGTATTTTGCTAATCAATTCTTTTGATCTCCTTTTATATCTAGGCATCTTTCACCAGTCTGAGGAATCATGAAAATTGGTTTATGATACAGAAAAGAAACCTTACTCAAAGAGCAACCTTTGTGGCAAATTGAAGGCAATAAATCTGGTAAACCTTGGACTTAAATAATACAATTATATTATTTGCCAAGCTCTAACCAATTTTTTTCCTAGAGGTTACCATTTAGATCAAATCCATGGGTGATTGGTATGATTTGAACCCAGGACCTCAGAGACCGAAGTACCCTGCTCTTCCTCTAGACCAGCTTGTTCCCAATACAATTATACTAATAGTATAAGTGTGAAGCAGGCCCACTTTTATAAACGGGCAGACTGGGCATATGCCCAGGGGCACCGAAGGTTTGGGGGCGCCCACTAACCATCTCCTGCCTGCACTTAGGAACGGGTTTGCCCAGGGCTCCACTGACCCTTAACGCGGCCCTGCTGTGAACTAGACCAGGGGCCCATTTCATAATAAACTACAAGTTACAACTTGTAACCTGTAATTTCCATTAGATTTGCATTGGGCGATCAGCTGATTTACTAATAATATTAGTTTGTACTTTATTATGAAATTGGCCCAAGCTACTAAAAAAAGTTATTACCGGAATGCCATAATCTCTTGTTAATTCTTAACAAATAAACGAGTTATAAAACAAACATATTTTATTCCCTCCAATTATTGTTACCCCAGACTAATATCTCCCCTTTCTTGGTATTGATGGGGGATGCATGTTTTAGTTTGGTCTTGTGCTCAAGGGAATCAAGGAGAGTTATCCTGGGTCCAAATTACTGGGCAAAATTCCATAGATACCTGAGGAAATCGCTATTACTATACGGCCATAATAGGGATTTGTGTGTAAGAACCTGAAGTACGTCATTGCCGCTCGAAAACTGTAGATGGCTGTACATTTTGAAAGCGGCAATGACTGTTTGTGCTCGTAGGCTAATACATACAAGATTTTTCCTACTGCTGAAACTACCTTATAATAACACACAGATTAACTTTTTAGACGTATATCAAATCTAATTTAGGTTATGTTTGCTTTTTAAGGTTATGCTATTTGCTTACCGGTTTTTAAATAACGTTCCAGATCCGTGGCTGGGAATGATCCATTACCCGCTCTAGGGCGGCAATGGGATATTTTGCGTTATGTTTACGGGTATGACTACGTAATAATTGCAGTGGTAGGAAAATGTTATTACGTAGTCTACCGGACGCAACCCAGCAAAAAACAATGCTGTAGTGAAAAAACATGTGACAATAACACCAGCTGGTAGGCCTACACTACACATCTCCCCTTCTTCTAAGAGCTGACTGCCGTTCGCAAATGATCTGCATGACATCTCCTGTTCTTTAGTAGACCATGTAAGGGAACACACAATGACTGCAAATGTGGAACAAATTTACCATAGTAGTTGATTGACCCCAGAAACGATTTCAATTCTTTGACATTTTTAGGGGACGGCATGTTTTTCATCGCTTTTAAGTGCTCATTTGTGGGATGTATGCCAGTTTTGTCAATCATGTTCGACCCAAGTATTTGACTGAATCCTGTAACCATCAGCATTTTGACATTTGTGCGCGGATACCCATATCTGTAAAACGTTTTAGCACCTCTCTAACTCGACGTATATGTTCCTCTCGTGTGGGAGCTGTGATTATTACATCGTCGAGAAGACATGCAACTCCTTCCAAGTCCACCAGTACTTGATCCATTTTACACTGAAATGCCCCTGAAGCGATTTTAATCCCAAAAGGAAGACGGGAATATCAGAAAACCCCTTTGTGTGTGGAAATAGTTAAATATTTTTGTACGCAAGTGTTAACTTCCATCTGTAAGTAAGCATCCTTGAGATCGATGACTGTGAACTCTTGTCCTCCAGTAAGTTTCGCTGTAATTTCTTCAAATCTGGGCATAGGGTAGTTGTCTGAAATCATATACTTGTTGATCGTGTTTTTAAAGTCAGCACATATGCGTATTGCTCCAGAAGGTTTAACAACAATCACTATAGGTGAAGACCATGTAACAGGCTCCTCACTCGTATTCACTGGCGTCAAGACTTGGTTTTCAACTAACGGCTGCAGTTCGTCTTCCACAGCTTTGCGTAAGGAAAAAACTAGCCTGCTGGTAGCTTTCAGTTCCACATACAAACGATTCAAAAAATGTTACACAAAAAAGTTAATATAGGCTACTCCAATTTTATAAAAAACCTCTGTGTGTTTGTGTAACATGACTGTGGCCATCTGCCAGAGCCCCATGGTTTAAAATCAATAGTGCAAGAAAAATTGTATTCATTTCACTTAATTAATTCTCTTTACTTATATTTATGAAAAGGAGTCTTATCTTATCTTACAGGGGCAGGTCGAGACCTTTAAGCACTTCATCCGAAATCGAATTATTGCGCACCCCAGACAATTGTTTTCTTGTTGACCTTACAAGTTAAGGTGTCCAATGAATGCCTGTAGCTTCCCAATAAGTTCATCCTCGGGAAGATATCTTCCTCTAGCCATATTCCCAAGAGTTATCATTCTAGCATCAGAGAGATCTTTAAGATCAAAGAGTAGGTGATCGGCTGTCTCTTCTGACCTATCACAGTGCCTACAGATCGGTTGAACTTCAACCTGGAGGCGAGTTAGCGTAGCGAACAAGCTAACCTGAAGGCAAGTGAGCGCAGCGAACGAGCTCCAACCTAAAGGTGAGTGAGCGTAGCGAACGAACTTCAACCAGGACGTGAATGAGCCATGCGAATACTTAAATGAAGTTAAACGGGGCAAAGCCCGCGGGTACAGCTAGTCATATAATAAAAAGAAGTTAAAATTATTTCTAGAAACTAACTGTTTTCTCAAACCTTCATGATCTATTGCACTGAATATGTTGAATGATCAATAAACAATCCAAATCTGATAAACACAAACATATTAAATAAACAGTACCTATTCTATCCATCTATAAAGATACTGGCATTGCATGCTACATGCAACTTTGCTTCCAATAAGGCTTTTTTGTTCTTACGCTAACCCCCACATACTGTATTGAACTTATCAAAGACACATTTAGGTGTGCAAATGTGTAAACTGGCTGTACAATTATTATTTTAAGTCATAAAATCAAATTACTCCTGCTGCAGCAAAACTGCTGAATAAGCTAATTTCCATTTGCCTGATAGGATTTTCACTTAAATATTTCCTTAAGCATATCAGTGACTGATTACAGTGGATAGATGAACGAGTACTTATTAGGGATGAGCATTGATAGCCGATGTTTTCAAAACATAATCCTATATTAGACATCTCATTAGGCATCCTATACGACAAGGATAAACACAATACCAAGGACAAAGGTCAGATAGGCCACTTGAACGATCTAGTTAGTTGTGGCTTGGATGTCACGCGTCGCAGCCGGTGAACCTACAAAAATTTTGTCTATCTATAAATACCAGTATTATTTGTTAAATGTATATGTTCGTTCGTGTGCGTGTTTGTGTCGTATGTCGTGAACTGTTAGTAGTTTTAACCAATCGCAGAGGATACGCGACCGGTAACCGGACGTGGATTAGGCGTCCGGCAGTTACTGTCATAACCTAACCTAACCAACCAAACTTGCTGATAGTGAAAAAAATCAAATGAAGGTTCACTCTTCATAACATAAAATTATAAATGCCGAAAATTCTAACAAAAGATGTACAGTTAAGAAGAAATTACATTCAAAGCAAAATCTGTGACAAAAAGTTTAAGATACTGATGGGTTTCGAACCGGGGACCTCTCGCATATTAGCCGAGCACTCTATCCACTACACCACAAACACTGATGGCTGAATATAGTATCATTGTGGTAATGGCGTTCCGGGACCCCCTACCGGACGCCTAATCCACGTCTGGTTACCGGACGCCTAATCCACGTCTGGTTACCGGACGCGTATCCTCTGTGTTAACCAATAGACGTCCTTTGGACTGAAGATTTCAAAACTAGCCATTGTTCGTTGCAATGGCTACAATGGAAAAAAGCGAGAGAGCCTGGATAAATTGATATGCTAAAAAGAAAACTGAATTAATACTGTGCTGTATTTCTTAAGGCAGGGTGCACAGTGGAGAAATCAGTTTCAGGAAACATGAAACTTTAGTTGCTCGCAACAGCTGGATTAGTTTAACACAGGGCAGTGCACACTGCGTTGCATGAAACTGTAATTTAATTTGTTTCTTGCAACTGGTTTACATGAAATCCAAAAAACAGATTTCGTATAGGCTTCAGTTTCACGTTTCTATTGGTTTTATTGACTTACCTCAGTGTATTATTATTTTTCCTCAGCACTCAGAGCTAATCTCCGGTTGGCGTCCTTCTTTGTTATTAGTGGGCTAAGTAATTCCACCAAACGTTCAAAAAGAGGCTTAGGCATTCTAAATAAACAGTATCAGCATTCTGACACATACTTTCTCCCATAACTTTGTCAACAACCTTTATCATGTGTAAGCGGTGAGAGTAAATATACGGAAATGGGATTAGTACAATTTTGTTCAGAATTTAAAGGACTACGTACTAAATTTTTATCCAAATCGTTCGGGCCACTTTTGTGAAAATCCGATTTTTAAATAACATAATTTACAATAACTTTTGAACCGTAATTTTTACAGAAATAGGATTTGTACTATTTTTCAGAATATAAAGGACTATAACATACAAAATTTTTATCAAAATCGTTCGGGCCGTTTTTGGGAAAATCCTATTTTTCCGTTATTTTATGTATGGCGTTTTATGGGAAAATTTCCATTAAAAATCAAATTTTTTTTTAAATTAAAAACTCATCAAACTTATCAAAAAGCTTATCAAAACTTTAAGGGCCATAACATACTATGTAAAATTAAAACCGGATTTTTTTCTAAAATCATATTTTTTGTTATTTTATGGGGTTTTTATGGGAAAATAACATAGTTTACCATAACTTTTGAACCGTAATTTTTACAGAAATGGGATTTGTACCATTTTGTTCAGAATTTAAAGGGCTACAACATACTAAATTTTTATTAAAATCGTTCGGGCCATTTTTGAGAAAATCCGATTTTTCCAGTTTTTTACGGGTTTTTATGGGAAAATCCCCATAAAAAATCAAAATTTTTAAAAAATGAAAAAAACGCCTGGAGATACTATGGATTAGAACCTACATACCAAATTTCATCGAAATTACATATCGAGTTTGGTGTACCAAGCTCACTTTTTTTTTACCAAAACCACTTAATTGGGTCCAGGGGGGCCCAAAACGAATATATCCACTCAAAACTCAAACTCGGAAATTTTGACAAAAACAAAACTTTCTCCGTATACTATGGTATAGGGGGAGAAAGTAAAAATCTAAAAATGTTAAAGGATCACTGCATAATTAACAAACTACAATGTAAGTACTGTGTTGACCATCCCTAATCAACAGGTGAACCCAATACTTCCTTCTTTTCGTCTTCTTTAGCCACCACCAATATAGTCGCATCATCATAATCCGAATTCATATCACGAAACTGACAAAATCCCGTTTATTCTGTTTGCATTTGTTAAGGAAATGGTTTCCAATTTGATGAAACCAGTTTCCTGAAACAGATTTCTCCAGTGTGCACCCTGCCTTAGTAATCATTGAAAGAGCCGATTTGCAAACTATGGAAATCTTATTTACAAGAAATGTTGATTATATCAATCTGTTATTTACATCTTGAGTATTTCCATAATCTTTGAGTTGAATCTTGCAAAGTCATAAGAAATTATAACTGTTATTCGTTTTAAAATAACGCCTGTAATACTTAACAATTGCTCGAATTCGAGCAACAGGGACACTAGTAAAATAAAAATATATATAAGGTAAAATAGGCCTAATGCAAATATTAATCCATTTATCAATATAATTTTTATATTAACTGATATGGCTTCAAATAAAAAATTGACTTACTCAGATAAGCTTGTCTCTTGGATATTTTTATTGTTGGCCTTATCACGTAGTTCATTTATTAAGCTTTCTAGTATTGTTTTCCCACGTTCCAGTCTTCTTTTCCTACGTTGAAGGGCGTTGACCATGTCTATCGATCTCCTTTTTAATCTAGGCATCTTTCACCAGTCTAAGGAATCAGGAAAATTGGTTTATGGCAACCATCATTTCATAATTTCCATTGATTTCCTTTTTAATCTAGGTATTTTTTTACAGGCCTGCATTATGTAAATTGGTTTATGGTTTTTGGCCTATGGATATTGTGGTCAAAGATCATAAGGCAGGTTAGATACAATAAGCAATAAAACAGGTGAACCTTGCAGACTAAAGCCGTAGGGAATACCAACTTTAACCTATATTATGAGGGTAGTTCATGAGGGGGTGATTTATTTACACGATTTACACCTACTTTTAGCGATTGTCCAATAGGAAATATGATGCTATTACTGCAGGTCTCATGGTAAAATCTAGACCCACGACTAATTTACTTACTGTATTTTGTTTTGTCGAATTTGTTTATTTCATACTAAGCTATCAAGATTGCAATAAAAGACACTCCTTATTACGTTCTCTATTTCAGCAAACCTAAGTACTTACCAAAATTAATGTTATTTGAATAGGAAATAAATCTGACAATTTTAAGGGAATATTTTAGTAGAAATCCAGCCAAGTAGGTATTTAAATGGAAATTCGCTTGGTCTGCAGGTTTGTACTACAGCAGGGGTAATAACATATATAGCCTAATAATAAATAAGAATTCTAAATCTAAATACTTACAACTCTCAATCAAACAAAAAATTTGTAATAAAAATTACATACAACAGCAGATTTTTTTAAAACTTACGTAAGATAAATTTCTTCAGCAACTATCTCATTTCAATATAACTAATCATCCAAAAACTTAAACTGGGATCTATAAACGTTTCTAGTTAATTTCCCCTCACTTTACATTGTTTTTAAAAACTCCCCTGACTTGGGTTTTTTTAACTGTCCCTGACTGTATACCAGTTACCCTGACTTTCCAAGTCGATGGGAACCCTGTAAAAGTTGTGATTATTGACAAATTTTAGATGGCATATTTAGCCTATACAGTAGACTCCTTCTATATCAACTTCATTTGGATCGTCCACCGGATAGTGCGGCCGTTCTCATGGGGATGAGTCACATCGTTAAGGGCGAATGACCTTCGACAGGATTCAAGTTGAATGTTTAGTTCCCGGTAGAAGTAAACAATTTAATACTTTAATACTTTACATTGAAATAACAACCATACGAATGTGGTATTTTAAGCCAAGTCTGAATGAAGATGAGTGTAGGATGAGTGGCGTGATCTTGTAGTTAATTTGTCAGTTTAGTTGAAGGGTGCTTACCCGATCAATTGCACATCAAAAATAATAAAATAAAAATACGGTCTTGTTAAACTGGAGCAAAGACTCTGCATTCTTATGGGGGAATCAGTTCAGTGTTTCAAAAAGGTATCATTAAGTGGAAACAACAAGACAATTCAGGAAGATATGTATTTAAAGATTAATTTTGGAAATTAATGTAGCCTTAACAAATATTAAAATAAGGTTATTTGTTGATTTTTAAATATTGAAATTAATTTATTGGAATAACTTTACCTTATACATCTGTCATCCAGTTGGTCCTGCCATTTTGTAGCCTGGCCGGTGGTAGAACTAGAGGCACCGGTAGTGTTAACTTATTGTAAACACAGGTTTGCTACATACAAGAGCATTCTAATTTTGTGGTTAATGGGTGGTTATGTAAATGGAATTTGAGGATTTGGCGCGGGTTAGGTTACTTTACTTCAGTTAAATAATAGGCACCGGTACGAAATTATGTCAGACCCTGTTGGATTTGATCATCTAAACCAAGCCAAATGAGAAACATTAGTGCCTTGACTAATCGTTTATAAGCAATGCAAACTTTTAGTCCAACGCGCCCTGATGAATTAGAACTGGGTAAATAGGGAACTCACAGTGCTGTGTAACTTAAATATTGAGGACAAAAGCCTGTATCTTCAAGTGCTAACTTAAGTACAATATGCAGGTGTTGTATCCTACAACTAAGTAACGTAAATATATTGTTAAATTTAATAAAAGCAATGCTTATGACGTGGTAAGCTATTTAAAAAATAATGCCCCAAACTACAAAACTTAGATAAAAAAAGTTAGGCCTAGGCCTAATTAAGTTATTGTGAAAAATAATGTAAAATAAAAACTAATATCTTATAAAGGTGGAGTAATGTGAATATTCATCCATTTAATGGTGTAATTATCATAAGGTTGTAATTATAAAAAATGCCACTGGCGTAAAAACACACAAAATAAAATAAAGAAAAGATTGATAAGACTTCTTGAAATCATAAATTGACTTACTCATACAAGCTTGTCTCTTGCATATTTTTATTGTTGACCTTTTCACGTAGTTCATTTATTAAGCTTTCTAGTATTTGTTTCCCACGTTCCAGTCTTCTTTTCCTACGTTTTAGTCTGGTGATCATCTCTCTTGATCTCTTTTTAACCCTCATTTTTCACAGGCCTGGGAAATTAATTTTGTGTGAATTCGTTTTGATAAGTTTAGGCACAGGTTGTTGGTACAAACAACCGAATGAGTAAACTTAATATTGATTAGCCTATTGGATTGTTTAATTTGATATAAGTTATTGTTTGGTTAGTTAGGTTAGGTTAAAACCTAATAACCAAACAATATATTGAATAATCAAATTATCAATCGATATTTTCATTCGTTTGTTTGTGCCAACAGATATGGAAGTGTACCGCGGACTTACCTATTTAGAGTCATATGAAAGATATATTTTGGTTGTAAATAGTCCTAGAACAAAAATTTTTATTGTAAAATATGAAGTTTTAAGGTCTAGAGGGGGTTTCAAACCGGGTGTGGGGCCAGGGTATGCCACTGTTCTTGCAGGCCTAAGTTATTAACCCTCCGAGCGTCACTTGTCGAAAAATCGACTCACGACACACTTTGTGTAGTGTCACTTGTCGATTTTTCGACACACGAACATCATTTACGGCGAAGGCTCTATGACTGACTGAATCGGATTGAACTGGATCGAGTTAGGTATCGTTCTTTTTGTTAGATTCTAAGCTTTCTCCGGAGGTCAGTCTCTAAGCGCTTTTCATTTTAGTTCCGAAAATATTGTAGCAGACAGCTGACGAGCGTATTTGTAAACAGCTTGGTTAACCTCGGACCGATGACTGATGTGTTTTATTACGTTTATCATTGTTTTAGTGTTAAAAATCAAAAGTAGTGATATACGTGGTGCATTATAAGAAGATTTAAGTGATTTTGAAGGGCTGGTTGATGATCCTGAAGAAGTAAGTTAGGTAGTGATATTGATGTAAATTATCAGCCAGATTCCTAGCTATGGTTAGGCTATGCATTCTTAGCTAAACGCTATGTACTGAAATCTGTTTTTCACTCATAACTTATTTATTTGATAACTTACCTCACTATCTAATATATAAAATTCTCGTGTCACAGTGTTTGTCTGCAAACTCCTCCGGAACGACTTCACCAATCGTTATGAAATTTGGTGTGTAAATTCTGTAGGTATGCGAATCGGACGTAAACTATTTCCCGTTTCGAAATTCTTAAAAGGGCTCCGCCCCACTGGCTCTGGAGTTTCCCATGTTAACCTTATGAGAAATGGAATTAATGAATCTTAACAGCTGTTTCAATTAAACAAGTTGGTTCTGTTCTATGATGTTCAATAGCATTAAAGTTACAAGGATTACCATCAGGGTGCAGCACTATTATTTCTTTTACATTTATGACAACAGCTAATTTGCAACCAAAAGGTGAGTGAGCGTAGCGAAAGAACTTCAACCTGGAGGCGAGTTAGCGTAGCGAACGAGCTAACCTGAAGGCAAGTGAGCGCAGCGAACGAGCTCCAACCTAAAGATGAGTGAGCGTAGCGAGCGAGCTCCAACCCAAAGGTGAGTGAGCGTAGCGAACGAACTTCAACCTGGAGGCGAGTTAGCGTAGCGAACGAGCTCCAACCTAAAGGTGAGTGAGCGTAGCGAACGAGCTCCAACCCAAAGGTGAGTGAGCGTAGCGAACGAACTTCAACCAGGACGTGATTGAGCGATGCGAACGAGATCATCTTGAAAATTAAACGTAACGGTACTTTCTTTCCATCGGTCTGTCTTAGGGGAAACCTATAACTTAGGCGATACGAAGTTCGCCGGGTCAGCTAGTATGATTATATATTTGTAATCCTCATAAAATTTAGAATAAAGTGGCTATTTTCAAATATTTATACTTAGGCCTATTACAATTTCATTGAGCACGAACTAATTTTTTTTTTTTTAATTTTCCAAAATATTTTTTTTTTACCTAGGCCTAGGCTAAAAACTTTTTTTTAATAAATGTTCCTTATGTTTTATATATATAATATTGAAGCCCATGATTTTCCAAACAAAATGGTATATAGAACAGTAGAATTAACATTGTTTTAAGCTTCTCAGATCCGTTTTAATAAAACCTTGCAAATGCGCCAAAAATAGGCGGACATTAAGGCCTAAACTATGGACACTCGGAGGGTTAATAGGGATTATTCCTAGGTAACTTACCCAAACCACAGAAAACGTACTACTATAACCCAGAATGCCAACCGCATGGTAAAAAGCATTAAGCGGTTTGAGAGAGCTTTGCCTGTCAATCCGTAGGCAGCGCCACCAGCGTTGCTATGCTATTGCATGGCAACGCTGGTGGCGCTACCTACGGATTGACAGGCAAAGCTCTCTCAAACCGCTTAATGCTTTTTACCATGCGGTTGGCATTCTGGGTATAGTAGTACGTTTTCTGTGCCCAAACTTACCTTAGGCCTATTGAACAATATTCTCTAACAACGAACTTAGATGAGAAATTGCTCTGAAAAATCATTGTGCAAAATTTCAGGTTGATACTAAGACATTTTTAAGTTATCGTACAAACACCTGCATCCCGCTTACTAAGTTAGTAGGCCTACCTAGGCCTACCACCATTGCTAGTACACAAGTACAGTGTGAATATTCACATTATTCCATCTTTCAACTAACCTCTAAATGAGAGTAGGATTATCCACGTTCCTATCAAAGAATAGATTCATTTACTAACAAGAAAATAAGTTTAAAATAGGCCTTAGTCTCTAATACTGAATACTGCTACTGCTTACCTATTTTTAATAATTATAAATATATATATATATGTGACAAGCTTCTTAAATTCATTTTATTACTTAAATTATTGCCACAAAAATACGCCAAACAACAACCATAGAGTATAGTACAGGTAAAATAATACAAAAACACTCCATATAAACAACAACTATAATAAGTCACGATAATTTTGGACTGATGTACGATAACATATTCGGATAGCGCTGGGTTCACAACGATATGGTAGACATACGGTACGGTTAAGTATCGATCGTCGTAGTATGAAAAGAACTACTATCGAATATAGTACCGTGAAGCTGGCCCGCCCATTCCAGCACACTTTTTTTAAATGTATACAAAAAAGTGTGCTAAAAGTGTGCTCTTTATAACTGCTATTAAAAAAAGTGTGCTCTTATAATAGTTATGATATAATCAATTGTATTTGGGCGGGCCAGAATCACGACAGGCCCGCCCATTTCAGCTACAGATCTATAAACCATACCAAAAAACTGTGCTCACAGGAATCATTAATAAAAAAAAGTGTGCCACCCCCGTTACTATACAAACAACCCCTAAATGGTAAGGGTAATAAAATGACCCAGCCCGCCCATTTCAGCTACAGATCTAAAAACCATGCCAAAAAACTGTGCTAAAAGTGTGCTCACAGGAATCATTAATAAAAAAAGTGTGCCGCCCCCGTTACTATACAAATAAGCCCTAAATGGTAAGGGTAATAAAATGACTCAGCCCGCCCATTTCAGCTACAGATCTATAAACCATACCAAAAAACTGTGCTGAAAGTGTGCTCACAGGATTCATTAATAAAAAAAAGTGTGCCGCCCCCGTTACTTAACAAACAACCCCTAAATGGTAAGGGTAATAAAATGACCCAGCCCACCCATTTCAGCTACAGATCTATAAACCATACCAAAAAACTGTGCTGAAAGTGTGCTCACAGGAATCATTAATAAAAAAAAGTGTGCCGCCCCCGTTACTATACAAATAACCCCTAAATGGTAAAGGTAATAAAATGACTCAGCACGCCCATTTCAGCTACAGATCTATAAACCATACCAAAAAACTGTGCTGAAAGTGTGCTCACAGGATTCATTAATAAAAAAAAGTGTGCCGCCCCCGTTACTTAACAAACAACCCCTAAATGGTAAGGGTAATAAAATGACCCAGCCCACCCATTTCAGCTACAGATCTATAAACCATAACAAAAAACTGTGCTGAAAGTGTGCTCACAGGATTCGTTATTAAAAAAAGTGTGCCGCCCCCGTTACTATACAAATAACCCCTAAATGGTAAGGGTAATAAAATGACTCAGCCCGCCCATTTCAGCTACAGATCTATAAACCATACCAAAAAACTGTGCTGAAAGTGTGATCACAGGATTCATTAATAAAAAAAAGTGTGCCACCCCCGTTACTTAACAAACAACCCCTAAATGGTAAGGGTAATAAAATGACCCAGGCCACCCATTTCAGCTACAGATCTATAAACCATACCAAAAAACTGTGCTGAAAGTGTGCTCACAGGATTCATTAATAAAAAAAAGTGTGCCGCCCCCGTTACTTAACAAACAACCCCTAAATGGTAAGGGTAATAAAATGACCCAGCCCACCCATTTCAGCTACAGATCTATAAACCATAACAAAAAACTGTGCTGAAAGTGTGCTCACAGGATTCATTATTAAAAAAAGTGTGCCGCCCCCGTTACTATACAAATAAGCCCTAAATGGTAAGGGTAATAAAATGACTCAGCCCGCCCATTTCAGCTACAGATCTATAAACCATACCAAAAAACTGTGCTGAAAGTGTGCTCACAGGATTCATTAATAAAAAAAAGTGTGCCACCCCCGTTACTTAACAAACAACCCCTAAATGGTAAGGGTAATAAAATGACCCAGCCCACCCATTTCAGCTACAGATCTATAAACCATACCAAAAAACTGTGCTGAAAGTGTGCTCACAGGAATCATTAATAAAAAAAAGTGTGCCGCCCCCGTTACTATACAAATAACCCCTAAATGGTAAAGGTAATAAAATGACTCAGCACGCCCATTTCAGCTACAGATCTATAAACCATACCAAAAAACTGTGCTGAAAGTGTGCTCACAGGATTCATTATTAAAAAAAAAGTGTGCCGCCCCCGTTACTATACAAATAACCCCTAAATGGTAAGGGTAATAAAATGACTCAGCCCGCCCATTTCAGCTACAGATCTATAAACCATACCAAAAAACTGTGCTGAAAGTGTGCTCACAGGATTCATTAATAAAAAAAAGTGTGCCGCCCCCGTTACTTTACAAACAACCCCTAAATGGTAAGGGTAATAAAATGACCCAACCCACCCATTTCAGCT